TGGTAAATTGAAAACTATCGTCTTTTGTTTTCTAAAGAAAAATTTATTTTTACCTTTCCATTACTTTTCAAATGAAAACATTAATAAAACATTAAAAGGGGATTTTTCTATTTTTTTCACAAAAACTGTTACGAAACTAAAGATTTGAATACCAAGGAAAAAGAAAACCTTTACAGGAATCTATTATCGACAATCACTGACAATTTTTTGCTCTGCCTAAAAGGGAGCCCCAATGTGCATTTTTAAATTTCGACCATAGTCAACAGAGTTTATTGGAATCGATTTTAAATACTCTCAATAGAAATAAGGTTTCTTGAACGGAGTGGAAAAATCATTACAGAAATCTTTCATCGACATTTAACGACACTTATTGCTGCGTCTGAAAGGGGGCCCGAATGTGCATTTTCAAATTTTGACATTAATCAACGGAATATAATGGAATCGATTTTAAATACTTTCTTTAGTAGGAATGTTTGTTGAACGAGGTGAAAAAACCATTGCAAGACACTTTTACCGACATTTATCATTCTGTCTGTAATATCACACCAAAATGATTTTTTAAAACTCTAGCATAGACAGCAAATCATCTTTAAATCGATTTTAATTACCGTTTGTAGAATATACAGTTAGTAAATTAATAGAAAAATATTACAGAAATCTATTATCGACAATTACCGACATTTATTGCTACGTTTGTAAAGGAACTGAAGTTTGTATTTTTTATTATTGACCGTAATCAACGGAGATTAATGGAATCGATTTTAAATACTTGTTCTAGAAACAATTTTCTGTTAAACGTGGAAAATGAGACATTGCAGAAATCTATTATCGATAGCTACCGACATTTGTCGCAGCTTCTGTTAGATTAAACGCGTTCTTACTTTGAAGAACGATATCAACGGATTTTAATAGTCGATATTAAATACATTTTCCATAAAGAATATTTGCTAGATAGAGAAGAAACATATTACAGGAATCTATTATCGACAATTACCGACATTTTTGCTAAGCTTCATAGGGAACACAAGTGCGCATTTTTGAATTTCGACCATAATCAACGGCTTTTAATAGAATCGATTTTAAATACTTTTCCTAGAAAGAATGCTTATTGAGAAGGCAGAAAAAACAATTACAGGAATATTTTATCGACAATTACCGACACTTATTGCTACGTGTGAAAGGGGTCCCCAATGTACATTTTCAAATTTTGACCATAACCAACAGAGTTTGCTGGAATTAATTTAAAATACTTTCTCTGGAAAGAATGTTTGTTGAATGAGGTGAAAAATCATTACAACACCTTTTTACCGACATTTATAATTCGGTCTGTGAGATCACACCAATTTAAAATTTTAAAACAAACAGCGAATCATCATTAAATTGTTCTTAATGACCGTTTCTAAAATAATAGGGTACTGAGTTGATATAAACAATATTACAGGAATCTGTTATCTACAATTACCGACATTTATTGCTACTTCTGTAAGGGGGCATGAGTGTGAATTTTTAAAATTTTGACCGTAATCAGCGTAATTTACTAGAAGTGATTTTAAATACTTTTTCTAGAAAGAATGTTTATTGTACGAGCAGAAAAAATTATTACAAGAATCTTTTAACGACAGTTACCGACATTTATTGCTATTTCTGTAAGAGGGCACGTATGTGAACTTTCAAATTTTGCTCAATTTCAACAGAGTAGAGAAGAGTCGACTGTAAATGCTTTTTCTGGAACAAACGATTGCTGAACGAGTAGGAAAATAATTACAGGAATCTCTTATCGACTATTACCGACGTTTATCGAGACTTTCATGATGACACACTATTGCTAATTTCTAGACGATCACTGTAAACGAATTACTCGTAAATTAATTTTATTTACTGCTTCTAGAAAGATCGTTCAGTAAACAAATGTAAACAACCATTACAGAAATCTGTTATCTACCATTACCGACATTTATTCACAGTTCTATCAGAGCGCACGTGTACCTTTTTTAAAAGGTCTTTTTTTAAAAGACCATTGTTACTGTAGCTATTTAAAGACACCTCTTAATTCTTTTTCTAAAAAGACTCTTTTCTTGACCCATAAAGAACATTACAGGAATCATTTACCGACAGTTATCGACATTTGTCGATAGTTCCATAGAAGCGTACAAGTGCGAAATATCATATTAGACAACGTGGAATGTGACTTGTTCTTAACCCTATCTCAATTTTTTTCTAGAGAGAGAGAGAAAGAAAAAATAATTCTTTATGGATTTACCAGAAGATTACAAGGATCTTTTACCGACATTTATCGATGATTTTTTAAATGGGTACGAATATAAATGTCTAAGTCCAGACAATTAGCATCGTATCTTTCTTTAGTGGACTTTAAACATCTTTTCTAGAAGGACGCTTTATAGAACGGATAAAAATTTTTTTTACAGGAATCTGTTATCGACAATTACCTACATTTATCGACAGTTGATTGAGAGAGTGTTAGTACTGTTCTTTAAAATTAAGCCATTCTCAATGCGAAATTGTAAAGTCGATCTTAAATATACTTTTTAACAAAATTAATTACCTGAGTTTAAGAAAAAATCATTACAGGAATCTGTTATCGACAGTTACCGACATTATTGACAATTGAGTGGACATTAGTACGAATGGTTAAAATTACATCATTAATAATAATAAGACTGTGAAATCGATCATAAACATCGTTTCTAGAAAGAGTATTAGAATGTTGAAGCAACCATTACAGGAATCTTTTATCGACAATTACCGACATTTATCGACAGTTCTGCTTACTATTTATTCGAAAATCGATCTTGTATCTTTTTTCTAACAGATTGAATTTGGAAACTGTTTCTCGTTAAAATAATGACAGAAATCGTTTATTATTATCGACAATTATCGACATTTGAAGTTATCCACCTTATCGACTGTTGATTTTATTAAATTCTTATTTTTTTGCAAAAAAATGAAATAATTGCTTCTTTTTTGTTGCTGGGAATAATTTTCTACACAATTTCTATTCCAATCGTTCGCATATATATAGCGAAGTGGCGCGAATTGTCGGGTTTCGTTAGATTATTGCCAGATTAGAGGGAACCAGGTGTTATCAACGATTGATTCCTCACGATGGTGAGACATCAAGATCGATATCGATTATTACTATCCATCGTGGATTCAACCGCAACTGATTGAAATCTCCTTTCTCTCTCTCTCTCTCTGTCTCTCTCGCTCTCTCTCACTGCAAGTTTGAGTAAATCGATTGGCTTCAGTCACGTATTTGCATGTATTGTACAAAGCAGATATGTGCACACGTGGAGATCAAACGTCATATTTACCTTGTGGTTTTTTGGTCTGATCTTATTTAAATATAAATTGCAAGATTACCCCTCTCGTAAACTATTATCCTGCGGCTTTTTTTCATTCTCTCATCTCGAGAAAACAAATCGAACGCAAAGATGAAAGTCGATTTTACACTTTTCATGATGCACTTATCACATATGATGTAAATATGTATTTTTGTCGAAAAGAGGTCATATTGCACTTTTTTGGAATATTACTTTTTAAACAAAATATTTAAGAGTTAAATCACTGTATTGAATTTTTTTTTTGTTAAAAGTTAAATAAAATAATTTTTCAAACTTTAGGGAGACTTCTTCATTAAATTAAATGAAAACTTTACAAAATATCATGACATTTCACAAAATTTCATGTTATTTCCCAAAATTCAAAATGGCGGATCCAATATGGCGTCCAGAATGTAAAAACTTTATAATTTTTGAAATTCAAAATGGCGGATCCAATATGGCGAACGTAAAATTTAGAATTCATTAGCTTTGCTTTGAATTCGTTTCTCAGAAGTTTTTAAGGTCGCTGATTACGAATTTGATGTCAGATTTTTCAAAAAATTTAAATTTTAATTAAAATATGTCTTAAATAAAAAAAATTTGGATTTTTTTTTGCATTTAGTAGCATTTTTTTTCTAATTTAAAAAGTTTCGAAAAAAATCTAATTAAAATCTTTTTTCTTCCTTCGTTCGTTATTTATTTTTTTTTTTTTGGTGGTGACTAAATACACAACAAGAGTTTCAATTTTAATTACAATTTTTTAGTGCAATGAAAAAAATTCAATTAAAAAAGATTGTTGCGATATTAAAAATTGAGAACCCCTGAATTGTAATATTCTAACATCGAGGTAAAAACGTTGAAAATGAATTAACTTTTTTATGTCGGTCAACATACCGGCTACGCTCGAGTCACATTCTATAGTAAGAGAGGGGGGGTTGGGGGGGAGACGACGAGGGGGATAGTGGAGGGGAGAGGTGAACCATTGTATTTTATAACCGCTCACTATGTCACGGGGGCCCCCGTGATAACAAATTAACTACAGCTACAGGACACTTTCGATTTTAAAATGACTCAAAGCATAAAATTAATTTTTTTTCTCTCATCATTTGGAAGTAAATAAAAAAATTTGGTTTACTTTGATTTTTCTTTTAATCTACAAGAAGGAGAAACGAAATGTTTTTAAGGGAAATAATTCTAGGGAACATTTTGTTCCTTGGAAAAATTAAAAAAAAATTTTTTAAACAAATGCTTTAAATTTTTTAAAATTGTTAATTTAGTAGTTGAAAATTTTGAAAATAAATTCAGAATTGTAATTTTTGGAATGGAAATGTATTTTATTGTCGTCATTGTTATTTTCACCTTTTGGTGTGTTTACAATTTCGATGGAAAACAAAACTCTGATGCCTTGAGGTGACTTAGGGGCGGGAGTACAATAGAAATGCTGCTGATTAAAACAAGTTGAAAGGATAATTCAATTGAAATTTAAAATTTACTCTTCAGTTAATAACAGTGATTCCTCCTGTTTAAACGTGTTCAGATCCGGTACGAATATCACAAAGGCGATTATTTTTCAGTGTGTATGTTTAATTTAATTATTTATTATAATTATTAATGTAATTCTTTAAATTAATTAATATATTATTTTAATATTTGTTTCAGAATCGTAAGTGACATAAGCAGTCTGCAGGACATTATGTTTCAAGGTCAGTTTATAAATAATATAATTTAAAGAACGGTTCTGTTTTGAATTTCAATGAAGCTCGGAGTTTTATATCAATAATTGTCGGTAATTGTCGATAATAGATTCCTACAATTTTTTTTCTATAAGTTCAGTGACCGGAGATACTACAAACGATATCTAAAATCAATTTAAAGATGATTCACTGACTAGGTAAAGTTCTAAAAATTTATTTTCGTGCGATCTCAGAAACCGGATGATAAATGTCGGTAAAAGATTCCTGTAATGATTTTTTCTGTCCATTCAACAAACATTCTTTCCAGAGAAAGTGTTTTAAATTAATTCCAGCAAACTCTGTTGATTATGGTCAAAATTTGAAAATACACATTCGGGCCCTCTTTCACGCGCAGCAATAACTGTCGGTAATTGTTGATAAAAGATTCCTGTAATGATTTTTATGACTGTTTTAACGAACATTCCTTCTATTAAAAGTATTAAAAATCGATTCCAGTAAACTCTGAAGATTAAGGTTAAAATTTGAAAATACACATTGGGACCCCTTATATGCCGAATGATAAATGTCGGTAATTGCAGATAAACGATTCCTGCAATGGTTTAATCTCCCCGTTCAACAAACATTTTTTCTAGTGAAAGTATTTAAATCGATTCCTGTAAACTCTGTTGATAATGGTCAAAATTTTAAAATACACTCTCGGGCCCTCTTACAGACCGAATGACAAATGTCGGCAAAAGTGTCTTGTAATGGTTTTTTCACGCCGTTCAACAAACATTCTTTCTAGTAAAAATATTTAAGATTCATTCCCGTAAACTCTGGTGATTATGGTCAAAATTTGAAAATGCACATTGGGGCCCCCTTTCAGACACAGCACTAAATGTCGGTAACTGTCGATAATAAATTCCTGTAATGTTTTTTCCATATATTCAGTAACGAGATATTTTAAAGACGATATTTTTTTTTTTTTTTGCTTAGGGACTTTTGGGAAATCTGCTTACAGATACCTTGGATTCCGCACTCCAAGGTTATGTGGGGTTGGTGTGATAAAACAAAAGGAGATAAAAAAAGAAAAATAAATATATAAAATAGTAAATTTAATAAACTGGCGACCTACTGCCAGCCTCGCACAAGGGAAAAATAAAATTAAAAATATTTTCTATCAATAGTTGACAAAGAAATAAAAAAGAATCACTTGTTCATAAATTATCTTATTTAGCTTGTATTTTTGGGTGTTAAAATTAATTTCACACGGCAGATATCTAAGGTAAGAGATACGGATGAGAAACATTTCCTACTATCGTTACGAAAGTTGTAAACAATTAAGAAAACATTTGTCCTCGAAAACAGTGGAGAGAAGTTTCGTCCTCACGTATACAGTTTGTATTTCGAGTTAAGTTGCAACACGTGATGCTACTTTTCGTCCTCTCTCTCTCTTTCTTACACGTGTTCACGCATGCATGCACAAATACAATGTACCCTCATCCAACACTTAACATTTTCGCGTCTCTATTGTTTCCCTTAGACACTTTTCTCTCGTCGGAAATAATTGCATATTTAAAAAAGGAATCTCCTCGTAAACTTAATTTTTGCATCTATAATTGATTTTAAATTGTATACAAATAAATAAAAAAACAGAAAAAAAATCTCTAGGAAATTATTAGTTATTTGATATTTTAATTAAATTCTATTGGAAAAATTAGTGAAAACTTGTATTGATTCTTGAAAAATGAATGTGTGTTTTATTGTTTATTAATTTACATTTTTAATTAAAAAGTAAAATAACAGAGAGGGAGAAACAGAAAGAGTTTTTAATTACAGCTAGAAAATTACATTTCAATTCAGTTTATTAATTACAATCGAAGTATAAAGAGATGGGCAAAATGTAAACGAATGTATGGATAAATATAAATATTTCGATTGATGGAGTGTTACTGGAGTGCACAAAAGCTTGCAGAAACCTTGCACAAAACTTTGCAATAATCTTAAAACTAAAGGTAATTGTCGGTAAAAGATTCCTGTAATTTTTTTAGTCTATTCAGTAAATGTTCTTTCTAGAAAAGGTTTTTAAAATATTTCTAGTATTAATTCGCTAACAATTGTATAGTTTTAAACATTTCTATTAATTTTCTCTCAAGAAATTTGAAAATAGTAGTCGGTAATTGTCGATAAAAGATTTCTGTAATAGTTTATTTTCACCGTTCAACAAACATTCTTTCTAGTGAAAGTATTTGAAGTCGATTGCAGTAAACTCTGTTGATTATGGTTAAAATTTAAAAATACGCATTTGGGCCCACCTTAAAATGCAACAACATATGTCGGTAATTGTCGATAAAAGATCCCTGTAATATTTTTCTACTCTATCTATCAAATACTCTTTTTAGGAAAAGTACTTAAAGTCGACAATTAAAATTCCTGCTTCTTTACAAACGTCGGTAATTGTCGATAACAGATTCCTGTAATATTGTTTCTATCAATTTAGTAACCTATTATTCTACAAACTGTAATTAAAAACCATTGAAAAATTATTCGTTGTCTATGGAAGTTTTAAAATTTGATTTTGGTGTGATCTCACAGACCGAATGATAAATGTCGCTAAAAAGCGGTTGTAAAGTTTTTTCACCCCGTTCAACAAACATTCTTTCCAGAGAAAGTATTTTAAACTAATTCCAGCAAACTCGATTGATTTTGGTCAAAATTTGAAAATGCACATTCGGGCCCCCTTTCACTCGCTGGAATAAGTGTCGGTAATTGTCGATAAAAGATTCCTGTAATGATTTTTCTGACGGTTCAACGAACATTCCTTCTATTGAACGTATTTTAAACTAATTCCAGCAAACTCGATTGATTATGGTCAAAATTTGAAAATGCACATTCGGGCCCCCTTTCACAAGCAGCAATAAGTGTCGGTAATTGCCGATAAAAGATTCCTGTAATGCCTTTTCTTGCCGTTCAACGAACATTCCTTCTATTGAAAGTATTAAAAATCGATTCCAGTAAACTCTGTTGATTATAGTCAAAATTTGAAAATGCACATTCGGGTCCCCTTTCTATTTAGACGATTTTACCACCACACCTATCAAAATTAAAGTAGTACTAGCCGCGTACAAGGAATCAACTGTCATAAATTGACTTATGGTTAGAGTTCCAAACCGAACTATAAAAGAATTAAAATATTTTGATTGATAAGAGTATCGAGTGGATAGAAAGTGTTGGGTCCAAATATTTTTCTCAACCCTTCTTCGTCTAAAGGGCAAACAAATAGTACCTAGCCAACCCTTTTCGTCCAGTCTCCCTTTCTCTCTCTCTCTCTCTCTCTCTCTCTTTACTCCTTCTCGGTTACACTCTCTCCCTTCTGCTCTCTCTCTACCCCTTTCCTCCGGATCACCCCCTCAGTCATTCCGTCTCTCCATCCCTTTGTTTTCCGAATGCAAATGAGTGGTCTGCCCCAGCTATATACATAGATATGTGTATATATATGTGCAATGGTACCATTACAACGAAACCTACGACAACGAGCATGCATATTCATACGTGGGTGTGTGTGCACACGAGAGGTTATTAATTAACCGGAAGCCTAATCAAGGCCCGTATATAGTCGAACGGAGGTTGGGAGGTCGTTGTGCCACAACACCCTCTCCCTCTTGCCTCCCCCCACACACCCCTTATTCAACCAACCCTGCTATATCACCCTTCTTCTCATATACACTCATAGTGAAGTGAAACCGCGTTAACCTGTGGCAGGTACGATTGCCGATCCCCAGGACAATTCTTGCATTAATTCGGGAATTCATGTTTGTCAGGAATCGCTGGTGTGTGATCTTTGGTGTGTTATCATTTTCCCGCGCAAATATATATAGAGAGTGACGTTATTTTACCTTTGCCCGTCACAATTCCAGCTGAAATCCTAGAATCATTTTTATCTACCTGTGTATCTAAATTAAATTATCTATTTGTGGTAATTACTATTAGAAAATATTCTTAGGGAATATTGTAGTAGAAGTCTCAATATAATTCCTAAGAGTTACCATCAACTTTAAGTGATAGTTTCCAAAAAAAATAAGTTAGCGTCAACTTTTGTAAAAATTAGTCGGTATTTGTCGATAAGTAATTTCTGCAATGTTCTTTGACAATTATTTTCGGCCCAGCTTCACTAGGAAATATATTTTCAAACAATTCGTTAAAGAATTAAATTAAATGACATTAATTTTCTTTAAAAAGAAGAAAATTCTATAAAGAACTTTAGATCAATAAGATTTCTAACGTTGATCTATCGATAAATGTCGGTAAACGATCCCTGTAATAGTTATATATCTGTCCAGGAATTATTATTTCTCGGACAAACCTTAAATGGGAAGGATATTCAGAATCATCAGTTGAAGAAGAGTAATTTTGATGATGTACAAATGTATGCTGTTGAAAAAGGATAAAAAAAGTCGGTAACTACCGATAAAAGATTCCTGTAATTTTTTTCTCTCCGTTCAGCATACTTTCTTTCAAGGAAAAGTATTCAAAATCTATTGGGTTCAAATTTGTTGATAACGATCTAAATTTAAATCCACGTACTCATGACCCCTAACAAAAACAGCATTGTTGTCGGTAATTGTCGATAAAAGATTTTTGTAATATATTTCCCCTCGATTTAGTAAACATTCTTTCTAGAAAAAAAATATAAAATTGACAATAAAAATTCGGTTCTTCAAAGAAAGAACTCGTGCAATCTAACAGGAGCAGCAGAAATGTCGGTAATTGTCGATAACAGATACCTGCAATGTATCATTTTTCCGTTTTAACAAACTTTTTCTTTCGGAGATGTATTGAAAATTTACTCCAGTAAACTCTGTTGATTATGGTCAAAATTTGAAATTACACTCTCGGGCCCCCTTAAGGATGTATCAATAAAGGTCGGTAATAGTCGATAACAGATTCCACTAATGGTTTTTCATCGTTCAACAAACCTTTTTCTAAGAAAAGTATTTCGAAGTAATTCTGTTAAACTCTGTTGATAACGG